TCCTCACCTGAACAGGTGTTTTGCTCCTGGCTCCAATCAGGCATAGCTCATGTATATATACAACTTATACTACAACTTATATAACTACGATATTTGTATATATGTCAAACATATATATATATATGTATATTATACATTGGTTTTGTCCTATTACCATTAACAGTCAGTAAACAAATATCACTATTGTTGAACAAGGCCTGCAACTGAACCGTCATCACCCACTATCATCCACTGTTACAGGTTACAGGTAATTATTAGGATAGGCCCAATATAAACATATGACCCAAATATAGCACAGAGCAGTCTCATCACCCCACGTCACTTTGTTCAGGTCGAAACATCCCGGTGAAGTTGAACACTGCCATTGGCCACTACCGCAAATACCAGCCGCGGTGTCACCGCTCCTAGGCAGATGACACCGCTGGGCAGACGACTGTTGCGGCTGTTTGGACTGTTTGGTGCAGCGTTAGAACCAGAGCACAATGGGGTGGTCTTCCAAGATGGCGCCATTGGGGGCAAGGTCCACTTGTAAACCCATGGTGCTGGTTTGCCAAGATCCACTTCACGCTGCGTTTCATCCAGGAGTGGTTTCCGCGGGCTCAAGCGTGGTGTCGATGGCCCACCTGCACGGTTTGCACAGTGGACACTGTAGCCCTTGTCCAAATGATTGCCAAGTGCACGGAATGCCGCGCAGGAACTGGAATGCTGTACTATGAATATTGGCATATGCTCGTCTACCCTGTTCTGGGCATCCGAATGTACTAAGAATTCAGAGTTGTGAAACACGTTCCCTTGGTTCCAGGCCCTGTCACCAGCCATTCTTGGATCAAGTTCACTGGCTGGCGGGAGTGCGTGTGAGCAGGAGCATGCGCAGTCCCACTTGGATTGCTTGTCAATAAGGAACCTCATAAACAAGAAATGCAAAAAGAAACATTCTGACCTCCACAAACTTCAGCTCTTCTGACCTCCACAAACTTAAACTCTTCAGGGGTTGGGAATATGTTCTGTTTTGTTTCAATGATATTCCATCCCTATATTGAGTTAAAGGTGCCCAAGAAGTTGGATGGACTGTGCCCAAGAATTCCTGCCACTTGTGTCGGCCCAGGATACTTATGGGCTCCTGGCAGCGAGCCCCTTGGAGTGGCGATCGACGTATAGATGACCAGCCCCGAACTTGAGGCGTCTTTGAGTCGCCTCTTAGAGGTTTGGGGATCAGCCTCGTCTGAGATCCACCTGTAGGCCTTGATCAGCGACTTGAGGTTCTACATATTAGTTGGAGGTTTGGGTGTCCAAGAACCAAACTTGGGTTCGGTCCTGTTTTTGTTGACTCTGTAGGTGGTGCTTTTCTCAAGACTAGGTGGTGGTGCATGATTTCAACGATGTGTTTATCAAGAAATGTCTATTTCTGGCCGGGCATGCTATTTCTTTTGTGGCGGCATTGGAATGTTTTGGCACTCCCAGAAAGTTTGCAGGTTTCAGCCAACGAAGAAAGGCAAGGGTTCAAATCCGATATTTTTCGATTCAACTATGAGGAAATCATGTTGATGGAAGATGAGTGAAGATGTTGGAAGCATGTTTTGGAGGAAAGCAGTTTTTTCCAAACATATTTTGAGACCCAAGGAGCTTGAGGTTTTGGACTCCTGTTTTGACCCAAGAATGGGTGAGATGGATGTCTAGACCGCCTTCGTTCCGCCCGTTCCGCGCGGTTGCAACCGGTACATGTCGCCCACTGGGGGACGCAGAGTAAGACGACGCCTTTCTCCTCTACCAACAGGGCAGGGGGTTGAAGGACACACTTCCATGGTTTGCACTCTGACGTGCAAGCAGCTGAGATAGTCCAAAAGCGTGGGTCCTTCGTTCTGCACACTTAGGCGATTCAATGAACATTGGCGCCTTGGATGAAGCAGCTGCGACACGATGTGACCATGTCATTCGGGGTGTGACAAATACTCGAGTCGGGCACTTGCAGTGGTTTTTTCCCATGCACTCCCTGGGACTGCGGACTGCCGCCCCAGACTTGACCCCCTGGCACCCACCACCCCGAACGCCCATTTTAAAAGGCAGTCCGACACGGCAGGTCCCATGGGTCGCGTTCGGGCTTCATATAAGTGCATGTGTGGCTTAGGCTTACGACCAGGTCCTTCATTTGTGAGCACCCACGGAACCAAGTCCTTTTTCGCAGCCTCACAGCAACACTTTCATGCTCCTCCTTGTGAGCTTCCCAGGTGTTGATGCTGGGGTGCCTATAGGTGTCAGACTTGAGAAACACGTACATCCACATCCTCAACTTTGCTCACATCCCAGACATGACCTACGGGACGAAACACATCTGAAAAACACCTGTGTTTGCAACCTCGCCCCGTCGACAGAGACCACCAAGTCCCATCCGGTCGCTTCTGGACGGACGGTGGTTCTTCGGTGGTCCTCGTCGCTCATGTCGCGTTTCGCTGCGATGCGATGCTCCGATGGTGCAGGTACTTCAGCAAATACCTACAGCACATTTTCCCCGTGAAGTTGATGCCCTCCTCCTTGAGGATTGGACATGTCCGGCCTCTGTCCGGGGGCTTGACCGAAAATGTCTCACAGAGATGATGTGATGAAAATTTGCTGTGGATTAGTTCTTTCATGTGGCGTTTGTCCTTTTTTTGAACCAGTCCGTTGGATGAGGCGTGTTGATGGTCCGTGGCGAGCCAAATCGATTCAATCTGTTTGGCGGTTTTTGGGCGGTAGACAGTTGAAGAGCCCCCTGTGTTCAATACCCAGACACGACTGGTGGGACTGGCATATTTCATACATTGGGGTGGTTTGGGGGGTCAATGTAGGCATATATTCCATACATGGAGTGTCCGGGATATATAAAACCTCCCCGTTAGACTGTGTGGTTAGTAGCCTGACCAAGGGAGTGGTCATGAAGACTGTGGATGAATAACCAGCTTCTTCCTCTGGACTTGTTTTACGTGGAACCTATGATACTATGGGGGGTCATGAACAGTCTCATTATTGCAAAGTCACAAGTGGATGAAGCCTCGATGAGGGTCCAGGAAAATGACCCATTTGACCTCCATGGTAGTGCTATGACTGCATGTCGGTGAGGTACATTATGAGTCCTTGGCGTGAACCTGGAGACAAATCTCTAGTCGATGAGTAGGTGGAGGGTAGTCACTATAGTCCATTGGTGCACCCAGTCCAGTGAACTCTATTTCTATGCCGGCCTTCATGTCCGCAAAACATCAGATCCCTTCACACAGGATCCGGGTCAGATTGGGTTCCAGCTACCCGATGACACCTTTGCATCACGGCAGCCCAGCACACAAATACAAAACCTTAAGAAACCCAGACACTCCATGTTTGGCATACACCTGGATCTTCAAACGGCACACATTTTTGCCGGAGGCACGTGAAAAGACGCCGTGGGCCGCAATCAAAGCAACCATGTACTCAAAACCCATGGACTGGAGTCAAGACACCGTTTCAGACGTCGGTGACACGACGCCGGTGTCCACGTTCTTTGGGGTGTCGCACTTTCGCGACCACACAAATGGCTGGCATCCGCCTTGGCACCACCGAAAAGGACATCAAAAAGCAGGTGTTCTTTGGAACAAAAGCACGGGGAGGTTGGCAGTCCTTCTGGAAGTCGAACACACATGGTGTTTGGCCGTTTCGAAGATCCAGGTATGCCTACATCGATCCCTTTTCAACCTCACCTGATCGGTCTATGTGCCAGTCGCTTTCGCTCGGGTCACGTGTCAGGACGGCCGGCTGTGTGTCAGCCTTGCCGACGAGCCATTGCCCCGTGGTCGGTTCGCAGCATCGCTTGCTGCTGGCGCAAGCGCAAGCGTCGCGGTCGACCGCGAAGCCGAAAGGCCTTCTGAAGCGCAGGTCCCGGGTGCACCGCCATGTCCATCCAAGGCTCCAGTAGAGGTGGGGGCGTGAAGATTGAGAGCTATACTGTACACTTGAACCTGAGAAGCCAAATGAAGTCAATGGTTGACGTCTTCCCTCCTTATCTTCACCATGGCCGCCAGTTGTTCAGGCTTTTGGGTGGGTAGGGCGTTTTGAACAAAAAAAACGTAGCCTGGTGGGTGGGTGGCCCCAGAAAGACTCCTCAACTAAACTAACCTAATGCAATATAGGGAAAGATGATGGTCTCAGACAGGTCGTAACCCCAGCTTTGCTTCCACCTCACTTGGAGCTTTGATTCCACCGGGCAAGAGGTCCTGGCCATAGGCAAGCATCGGCCATGCGTCTCGCGCGAAAGTCAAGCTCGGCCATGCAGAGCAAAGATCTTGCAGATCGGGTGATGGGTGATTTGCCCGGACTGGGTTCATCCCCTTCTGGGGGATAGTTGATGGTTAAAAATGCTTCCTGAAGCAAATCCAAGAGAGGCTGCAGGGAAACTATGGTATAAGTATGGCACGGACCAAGATCAAGGGTTTTTTGGCTTTCTATCCTACAGAGCCAGGCGTCGTTTTACTGGACACGAGATTGGATAGAAATCTTATTGCGGGAAACCTTCAAAGTTTATGAACGTAAGGCCGGAAAGGCGGAAAGGCGCACATGACAATGATCACTAAATTAAACTCTCTATGCTTGATGGGGGACACCGTATCAAAAAGTAGGGGTGAATAAGGCATTGTCTACAAAACCCAGTTATTGACTTGAGAAGCCAGGTGTTTGATGGTTTTCGTGAGGATCCCCAGGTAGAACAAATAGATTGGCATCCGGAACTTGGAACAGTGATGGACTTCCATCTCAAGTGAAGCCAACTGGAGGATACATACTCCAAGTCACCAGGCACCAATCTATTGTCGCCCCTCAACTTGGCTTTCACTGGATAAAACCTCAGCTTTTCAGTTATACAGCTGAATATTGAATACCTCAAACCCAAGTGAGATGTGGAGTCTCAGCCTCTTCCAAAAAACAGACCTGGCCTTCTACTCCGCGGCCGTCAGACCTGGAGTCCTCAAGCCTGATCGCCCTCCGACGTCGACCACGGCCAGATGATGCTGACGGTCTCTGGGAAGGAGGAGGCACGGCGAAGCCTCACGTTACCAGGCAGGGCCAACGGCTTGGAGCAAGCGCGGTGAGAGGTGGAGCGGAGCAAACGCGCTGGAATTGGCGACTAGCACACCCCGTGGAACTGGAAGATATATGTAATCCTATATAACATATGTTTGATATGAACGTTTATATAGTAATGCATGTGCAATCGAATCATATATATACCGGGTACCTACTACACGCTGGGAGTAGCAGTCCTGGGAACAGCAGTTCTTCACCTTTCGAGAACCTCTGATTTGAGAATCAGCAGACTGACTGGGCAGACTATACTATGTATGTAACAGACCTCAAGACTCGATAAGACTCGTAGATGGCACAAACCTCAAGATGTGCTGTAGATGGGTCCATCTAAGCCAGCTCTTGGGTTAGACCCCACCAGCTCGTGGATGTTACAGCCTCTATAGTAGATCACATTTGCCAAAACGGCAAAACTGCCAAGTTCGGGGTCCCCCTAGTTCGGGGAGAAGCGAGGCGGCCCTTTTGAGATGGTTTGGGGGCCCCTTTTTGGCGCCCCTCACACTTCCTGAAGCAGTAACTTGGTAGCAGATGAAGCACTGAACATTGGCACTGCCAAACTCGTTCCTACTCATTCTGCTTTGTTTGCGTTCTTGTTCCCCGTTCTTCGATGCCGTTTGCTTTTGGAGTGAACTGGGCTAGGTGTGATGTGGTCATGGTTGAAAACTGATTTGCAACTTGCTCCTGCAAGAACCACCTGCTCAAGAGTACGAGAAACACGGGTTTGTGCGGTGTGTGGGCCAAGCCTGTTTGCAGTGGTCACATAGCAGAGGCCAACCATGAAAACGCCATCCAAGACCAGTTGGCAGTTGGGTCCCAACATCGGGCAGACCAGTTGGGTCCCCATGAAAGCGGAGTCGTTCAGAGCTACAGGGAGTTCCCCAACCCCTTGCTAAATGTACAATTTAACAGGTTTGATACTTGTATGGTTTGATGCATTTGTTCAAAAGCAATCAAATTTGATTCAAATAATCATTGCATTTGTTTGAACAAATAAATTTAAACAATTAAACAGGTTTGATTTGCAAGAATTTATAAACCTGTTTCACCTGACTGAACAGGAGCTTGAAAAGTCTTGCTCCTGAAGGGGGGAACACCATGGGGCAAAGACCACCCCCAAGCCGGGCCAACACCATGGGGCCGCCCGGTCCGAACTTCCCACGGCCAGGAAACTTGAAGAGACCCGACTCTGCCAGGCGACGTATCCGCGACACCGTCGGTGGATCGATGACGTCTCCGCGTGACGGTCGTGACGAGAGACGCGCCGAGGTCACAGGGGTGCGTGGAAGCACCGACCCTAGGGTCTTGAAATGGGGGTGTGGCATGCGAGTCCCATGGAGTGGGTGCCAGGGAGTGTTTGGGCTCTTGAATCAGAAGCCAGCCTCGTTTTGGGATTGTTCTCCTCAGGTTCTGAAGGGTAGATCATCGAGAGTGTGGCGCAACCGATTCAGGAGGACGTTTTCCCTGACTTCGGACTTGGGGGTGGCTCTTTTCGGGGACTCACCCTAGGGCTCCAACTAGCTCCGTTTCGAAGATGGTTATGGTGGGTGCCAGGGGGGTCTAACCACTTTCTGAGGATATGGGCCAGGAGCCCTAGGGTCAAATCATCTCAAATCCACTCACTTTGGTTGTGGTGACTCTTGATCTTCAGAGTCTGTATGAGTCTGTACAGTGGTTTCAGAGTGGCGCATGGTTTGTTCAAAGGTCCGTGCGTTCGGTCGCTTTGTCGAAGCACCCGAAGGACCGCGTATCACCCCATTCGGCATCCTCCGGACATCGAACCAGACTGGGTTGGTGCCGAACCTCTGAGAAACCTCACTGTAGCTGTAGTTTCTCAAAGACCATTAAAACATAACGAACGACCTGGTTTTTGTATTGTAAAATCCTTAGTTGATTGGGTAAAGCCTATTAAATTAATGGTTGTTGGAAGCCTAGGGCTGTAGCTGTAGTTTCTCAATTTGACTGCAAGGATGGTGTAACATCCAGCAGTCACGAAGGCTAGGTAAGGGCTGCGGACTCGGAGGGTGCCTTTTTGGTGTGCGCCTGTCACATCCACTTATGACCCCCGGGACGTGACTCCCCCGTGACTCCCGGGAAAGCTCGGTGTAGGATGGAACCGACGATGCTCGACGATGGAATTTGGGCCAAGTCGATCGAACGTCGGGGGAGTGAGTCAGATGACCAAGGGAGAAAAAAGAAACGGTGAGGAGGTCCTCCCGATCGCTTCTTCAACTTGAAGAAGAGCAATCTAATTCATGTAGGCTCTTTACAACCTCCCCCGCTTGAATTGGAAAGCAATTTAGAAATCCTTTTCATATGGGGGTGTTGATAATTAAGAGTCTACATTGCTACATTCATGCAATCACTGAAGATGGCCGGCACTCCGCTCGAGTAAGTCCCAATTTATTTGACCCCTTGAAAGTCAAAGACATATAAAAAGAATAGTTTGAATTTCAAGTGGCCTGATTCGGAAACTCTCTTGACTTCACCTTTGCACTTCTATAGGGGATCTGTTGATATAATCGTAGATGCACGTCAATGGCACTTTGCCCAACGTCTATTTCCGTGTAACATTTCCCTCCAGCTTGCAGAGTTTTGCTCGGTACCAGTGCCAGGATTGGTTTCGCCACCACTTTTGACACGCCGAGTGTGACCCAAATCAAATTGTGTTTGTGGTCCCAACCGCTTTGAGAGGTACTCCCCTGCAGGTTAAGATGGAACCCCAAGACCATGGTTTAGTAAAAAAAGAACGTGGAAAAACAATCTTCCAGGGGGCCATTGTCAAGGTCCATGTTCGTTTTCGGGAATGGTCAAATCACGGTAAATCCACTTGCTCGAACATCGGGTCGTAACCCGATGGGCCTCAAAAAGAAACACAACATGCTGCTGTGCTACCAGTCCACCGTGAACATCAAACAACCAGATCTTTTTCGGAGTCTCTTAGTGAACTTTCACGGGCCCAAGTGACCTCATCCTGAAATCTTAAGGGGTCACTTTGAAGGGCTACACTTGACACGTCTATTGCTCCAACCCCCAAGGCGGAGGAATGCGCAAAGCCCGAGCTTGCAGCTACAGGTGCGACTGGCGCAACGTTTTTGGTATGCTGATTCCATTCACCTTTCAACTGTTTGCAGAGGCTTTACGGCAGGTTTGCAGCAATCACCAGAACGACCAAGCATCCACATGCACGATTGAAGAGAAAAAACACCAACTGTCGAGTTGAAGCAGAAAACAACAAATATTATCAATTATTAAGATGTTTTTTCACATGTATGATTCTTCTTGCCCATGTATTTTTCCTGACTTTAAGTTCTCTTGAAACGTGTTGCGTTGTTTCACCTCAGGGCTCGGCCAGCCAGCCGGGCAGCCGGCGCGGCTCTGCCGAGGGGTCGGGTTGCCCAGGTGAAGGATGGAGACGGTCGCATGTGACTTATACACCCAGATGTGCCCCGTATGCACATGGACTGCGCTCAAAAAGCCCTACTCAAAAAATATAGATAAACGTACACTTTTAAGGTTGGAGATGTGTTGTTAAGTCTTCGTTTAGAAGCGGGCCCCCAGCAGGCTATGGTGATACAGCGAGGCAGCGCTAGATTGGCGCTAGGTTGGCGCTAGATTTCTTCATAACAGGATAAGCAAGCAGGAAAAAGAAACCAGCAGAGACTGAGAGCAGGAAAAAGAAGAAACAAGACTAAGACAAGAAAGGTAAAACAGAAGAAGAAGAAGAATGCACAACAAGAAGAAGACAAGCAAGCAGGACAAATAAGAATCTGACAGGATATAGAAATCGACGGATATTTTTGCGCTAGGCTGGCGCTAGATCCGCGCTAGCACCGCGCTAGACGACGGTCCATTTCTTGACCATTAGCAAATCCAACACCCAAATCCTTTGAGTCAGCTCTTACATCCTTCCTACGTCGTCCTGAAGATTTCTGAGAACAAAGTGGGAAAGTCCAGCAGCAGCAGTAATTAGCAGCAACAACAGCTCCAGCAGCTCAACAGGCCCCTGAAACGGTCCGCGCTGGACACCTCTCACAGTTTTTGCAGTTGACACGCCTTCATGTTTAACGTCCCTGTGATTTGAGTGTGCTTGGAGTTTAAAGGAAATTTAGAAGCGGGCCCCCATGGAATTGCGATGAGTGCACCATTTTGGGAAAAGACATATTGGAAACCAACCACATGTGCCCATTGTGATGGGAAAGGGGTCCAAAAACAACATCAGAAAGAGAAGCAAGGATGGATGGATGGACGGAAGAGATAAAACAAAGTAAAATCTGATTTGAATCTCTACTACGCTGCTACTACTGCTACTACTTTTGGCCGAAGAGCCTGTCGATGCTCAGTCATTTTCCTGCTGACGAACCAATGCAGATGGACACAAGAGGGCGGACGCCAGCTTTGCAGCGGTTGAAACGTGGCTTTTTGCCGCTGCAGAAGTCAGTGGTACTCCTTACTGTACCAGAAGTACTTGGAGGCCTTGGGTTGCAAAGTGGACGATCAATCCGACATTTCATTGCTCCAGCTTTTGCCAGAGTGCAGCCTTGTGGCTGGGTCGCGTGTGGCCAAAGCAACATGTGGCTTCTTTTCCATTACCCAGACGCGACCCATGAGACTGCCATATATGCCGATCAGTTGGGGTGGTTTGTGGGGTCAATGTAGGCATATATGGCAGTCCCATGGAGCGTTTGGCAGCGTTTGGGGTATGCAAAGATATGCAAAGTTGATGACTATATCGCTTCCACCAAGGCTTGGGAACCAGCCCAACACCAGAAGAAAAAGGGCGGGATCGTTTATCGCGGGGTGCAAAAGACGAGCACGGGGCCGCCGCGGTCTACGAAGAACTCGGCGCGAACCCAAGTTGCCCCAGGTGGCCAGTTGCCAATGCCGGCACACCCGACCACTGTTCAGGTGTGGCACGCCTCGCATATAAATAGAAACCTTTTGAAAGACGCGTGCTATTCCTATAGATCCTATAGCATATCCTATTCTGTAGAGCCAGATAGAGCCAGTCTGTCTTGGAGCTTTAAAGGATGACAATGGAAAAAAATCATTTTCATTGGAACTGGACCTTGTCCCAAAGCTAACAGCTGACTTTGGACTGTCCCCGAGACGACGGAGGAGTCCAATGGCAAGGAGTCCGCGCCCTTCCGGTCGAGGATCGAGAGGTGACTGGAGACTCCGCATCTGAACAGCTCGCTCTCCACATCAGCGGCGGAGGATGCTTCACTCCCGCCGAGTGACGAGCCCAAATGCTGCTACCCAGAAGCAAGTCCGATCAGGTCACGGAGCACGGAGGAGAGCCGCACATTCGCTGTGAAGGCAGTCCAAGCGTTGGAATTGAACTCCCTGAGTTAAGGCCCTCCCGTGCTTCAGTAGTACTACTCAGTTGTACTGATCGGGTGATGGGTGAATCATGCTGAATCCCCGACACCGGTGATTGTTGTTTCATTTTTCTTGTTTCCCATACACGACCTGTCTGGGACTGCCAGTCCGGACTGCCTTCAAAACGGGCGTTCGGGGTGGTGGGTGCCAGGGGGGTCGGCCTCTGGGGCGGCAGTCCGCAGTCCCATGGAGTGCTTAGAGCCGACAAACCGACAGGGACGAGGAAGAAGACGTCCGTGCGGAGATGTTCCTGAAGGCGGCGGAGGGGGGGTTGGCAAAAGGGGTCGAATGTGGCATGTTGGTGAAAAGCAATGAGATTTGAAGAGGCCTTCGTGAGGAGAATGTGAAGCATGCAAGCTAACAAAAACATCAACCCTCAACCCCACATCCTACACGAGCATGTATGAAGCCCTATTTGTTCGGTGCCTATCCGGTGCTTCTCAGCCTGCCCCGAATGGTGCGGAAAGAACAGGCGCAGCGCTTGTTGAAAAAACCTCTCACCGGTTCCGTGGCTGGTTGGTGACACATGGACTAGGAAATCTGTGCAGTGTCTGCTGCAGATTAAGACGGCGCCTAATTCCTATTGGTTCACATGTGCAGATTGGTGGGGGTTCTCCTTCTCCACAATTCCCGAATTCGGCAATCTTCACTCACCAATCACTCAACCTCCATCTCCACCAGGCTCCAACAAACGAGTAAATTTAGTTATATAAACATGGTTTCCAACAAACTGCATTGATACGAGGGATGCCATTGAAAGCGCGACATGTTCGTGGCCGACGTCAGCATGCATGGAATTGACGGATTCAAACCTGTGACTTCAACGAGCAACTTCGGAGGCCCTCCCCCCCCAAGACCTGATAAAAATATCATCCAATGGTATCCCAAGACATCCTCTTTGGAAGAGGTGAGGGCTCCCGTATGAAAGCAGCGACGCAACCATCTTCTATTTCCCGCCTCCCTTGGATGAAGAAAATGCCACCACGCACTGTTGTTCGTCCATTTGGATACAGAGGTCCGGACAGTCCAGTTCCGTCCAGTTACGTCTTTCATCTCCTCACCAAAGCGGGTTGGCCGGAGAAGCGATGTGGCGGTCCAGGTGTTGGTTCAGGCCACACGCAGCGATCCCAAAGGGTTCGTTGGAACAGTATCTACGGATCACCCCTGACTAAATATATGTATGTTCCATCCAATAACCAGCCCTTCCGTGGTGCTGGGTTGCACCATCCCTGCGTCCATGCACGTCGTTCGGTGAAGATCCCTGTGCTCCGCTGCTGTTTGCGCTTCGTCTTCTGAGCCTAGTCGAGTCGTGGGGTGCGAAAAAGCTCCACGGATCCCGGTCCACTTGGGTGTGGGAAAGAAAAACAAGTAAGTGGCTTCTTTTTTTCAGAAAGAGACACCAGAAAACATGCAAAGACTTCCGAATCGAAGAAGAATTGCTTCTGAATCAAGTGGGGTTTGGGATCCTGTGGGTTCTATATTCTGGGGTTGATCGCTGAACAGTCGGACAGCCTCAACAAAATCTTGAGATTTGTTTATAGCTTAATAAAAGGTTACATTTAGTGCCCATGTTCATCAGATGGGACCAGATCTTTCTAGATCTTCCGAACACACACTTAAACCCAGCAGCTTCCGTGATGTGAAACCCATCACTTTTCGTCAACTCATGGGGCGATCAACCCCTTGGTGCTGTGTCCTCAGCTTGGCATGGTCCTCTCTCGCCTTACGTGACAGCAACTCGGATACCTTGGGCCTGGAGACAGGCGCGCGGGGTGTGGCGTCGGGGGGGGTTCGCGCACAGGTGATTTGCCGTGCTTGTTGCACCAGACAGTTTACCGTTAGGGCTCTCTCTTTTGGGAAGAAAGTGGTCACACCCTTTAGCCGTGCCTGAACCTTGTGTCCTCCTGTTGTCCTCCTGTTGTCCTGCTGCTGTCCTTTGGCCAAGCTCGCAAGCCGTTTGTTCTCCTGGTGTCCTCGTGCCGTGCTGGCGAAGCAATTAGTAACATTAAGAAGCTAGGAAAGTAGCGATGCCTTTCAACACGACTTGTTACCGCCCCGTCTCCGCTTCCGCGGCCGCGACTGAGACCGGCGTTTGTTCAGCGGAACACAGGGCGGTGCCAGGCGACTGCCAGGTGGAAGCGGCAGAGACCAAGCGAACCTTGTTGGAGCTGGGCGTGCCAGGCGCGGCCGGGATGAAGAGTGCACAGGTGGATTCGGCCCCTTCGTTCGACAGGTCAGAACTTCTTGCTTTTTTTTTCACGACTTTCTCGTGCGGAGTTTGAGTAAAGCTCCTGCGCCATATCGATGTTTTCTTAAATTCCATGCCTTCCAGCCATATCGATTTGTGCAACTCGTCCTGCTTCTCCATGCGACCTCGTTGCAGCCACAAGGAAAGACCACCACCTACAGTTGACACTGAGATGAGTCGGTGGTGGGATTCAGCAACTCCATAAACCTCCCTGTTCAGCGACTCTTGCAAGATAGGCAGATGCCTCAGCCGCTCATATTGGATTTCAGAGATCCATCATGATCCATCAATATATATATATATACAATATATAATACATAATATATATATATATGTATATGCCAGGCCCATAGGGAACATTATTGAACCCACATTTCTTGGGTGCCGCTTTGGAAGTATTTTTGGTACATGTCGAGAACTTCTTCGGGAAGCTGAAAGCACTGATGGTACCTTCCTGGGGTCCTTTTGAGGGCATCATGCCAGAGTTTTAGGTGGATATTTTGGGTCGGTCCTCACACTCAAATATATAAAACCTTTGTGGCAGTCTATTATACCTGCCACAGTCAAATATATTAGCACTAAACAGGCAGCCTCACCTCAGGCCGTCCGTCCTGAGATGGCGAACTTGAAACAAGCTCCCCCTGTTGGCTTCGTGCCCGGTTCCGCTACTGACCTGGCAGGTTCACTGGAGCCTGAGTGACCGTACGTGACCTTGAGACTTTTTCAAGCTGTTGTTTCACGTTTGTATACGAGACATACTTGGATTCTACTCGTTTGGCTCAAGGCAAAACAGGTGTTACATGGTGTTACCATTAGTGGACTATAAGACGGTCATTCACCTGGACACTCTCAGTGCAGAATGCCGCTGTTCTTTTCAACCCGGTTGTTCCACGCCGTTCCATCTCCGAAAGCTCCAAACTCCAGTTGCCCGCTCACCCTAGCTGCTCAAATCGCCCTGCTGCCCCAACCGCAACGCCGATTCGACACAGACGCGACGTTCGACGTTCGACGCGAGCGTTGGAGGTCAGGAACTCCTGGGCGAGGACCATTGTCAATGGGAATATGTGACGTGTGAGCTTCCTGACAGACGCGACGAGCCTTCGATGTGGAGGGTGTTTTGGACCGACCACCTGGTGCTGAGGTGCTTGGAAGTGGTTGTTTTGGGCATACAGGAAACTGGTTGCGTTCAGTAGAAGGTAACCTAAGGGCGTTTCTCCGGTGAATTCTCAAAACTTGACAGAGCATGACAAGTCCGTAGCATGACATCAGCAAAACCAGGTGTTCAGAGATAGAATTCATGTTGTCCGAGATGTTTTGAGCCTTTTCGCCTTTCCCGCGTATCCTTCAGACTTAGAAAAAGTCGTTGGAGGGGGCTCATGGATTTGAAATCAGTCGCACTTGGTCTGCACACCTGAGGTTTCTAGGCTGCCACGTTATTGAGCTCTACTGCCGGCATAGCTGTCAAGGCCGGCTCCCGAAGGAGCTCAAGCTGAAACACCTGATGGAGGCCAGCAGCTGTCAAGCTCGAGAAGTGGAGGTCCAAAAAAAAAGAATATATATATATATATTAACTATATTTATATATATATGTATACAGTATATATACATATGGCCCTACAGAACAGGATGGATTATGTGGTGTTGTTTCTATTTATTCAATGTTGATTCAATGTTGCTATGTTTAAATATGTTTAAATTGTGTATTTATATATTTATATATATATATATAATTATTTGTGATATTTATTTCCCTCTTGCGTTTGCTCAAGGCATGCAAGTCTTGCTTTCAGCCTTTTGGGTTGTAGAAGTGGTCCTGTTTTGACGCCTCCGTGTGGTTGGCCTCGGCAACGTTTCAGTTTGCAGTTCCCTTCTGCAAGATGCGCATGTCATGATCATGTAGACATGTAGAATGCCCCCCCGCCTTCCATTCGACCATTCAACTATAGAGGTTGACCTCTTACAGATCCGTAAAATAAGCACCGGCTGGTCAAGAAACACCGGGTTGGACGATGTTGGAAGCAGGCATCCCCTTGCCAGTTCACAACCCAAACCCAGCAAAAGGTTGTTGTTCTTTATCTCAAGTCAAGTGGTGCACCAGTTTTTTCTTCAACGATTCACCGGAAAAAAGACCTTCCAGTGCACTCCTTGATCTCCTTCCTTCACCTCCTTCCAGCGCACTTGATTGAGACAGGTGGACTTGTGCAAGTCCAACGTCACTGGGGACCTCGCAAGCTTCCAACACACCCCCAAGCTCACGCGTCCCTTGGGCTGTGCCAGCTCCAAAAAACGCTCGAACACCTGCGCAAGGACACGAGACACGAGACAGTCGCGAAGACACGTGGCAAGTTAGATTCGAACACGCCAACCGGAGTCTGGCACAGGACACCGTGCGAAAGTAACCGGAGAACCTTTTTTGACGTAGCCGTGAAGGTGAAACCATGTGAAATACAATTAAAGCTGGGTGAGTTCATAGATCTCAGTCTGGGTAGTCAATATAGCTATTATAGAATGCTATATATAGTTGCCCTGTCAGGGACCCTGTTCAAAGATGAATGGCACAACTACACCACCTGGGAATTCGGGGATAGAAACATCCTGAATCGTATTGAGACAGTTCTTTATAGTTTTTAGGTGATTAGATAGGATATTTTTCTTCAACAACATCTATATCAGCAGAAGATTCTCGCGTAGTGAGCAATGCTTGTGACACACCGCTTGGGGCATGTGCCTTTTAAACAACCACCCAATTGTGAGCGATGTGAAGCAACTGAAGGCTCAACGTAAATAGTTAAAAAAGAACACACTCAAGTCGAAAAGTCAAGAACTTGCTCATCAACTATATAGGTACTGGCACAATTTAACAGTGAACCAACATGAACCAACCGAGTGCAGAAGTCAGTGAAGAGAAGTTTGAAGCTATGCATACTGCTTGACCGGCTTGACCAAGGTCTCTTTTTGGACAAGTCGCGCATGGGAGGCGACCTCAAGGATTTGGAAGCGACCCCACTGCTGGAAGCCCTTAGCCTGGCCCAGACTCGCGTCGGAGGCCGGAGTCGCGAGTTGAAACTGAGCCAATCCCAACTAGTTGGGTAGCTGAAGATGCTGGTGTTCGTGTCCTTCGTTGGGACTGTGCCATGTATTTGGGTGCATGTTTCTATGCCTTTTTTCCATATCAATAGGATATATAATATGAATTGAACGGATTTCCATGTCAAGTGGATCAAAAGTTGAAATCCGTTCGGCAGGACTCCCGACTCCGTACTTAAGCTCCTCTCATCGCCAGTCCCGCCGACTCGCCGGAAGGGGCGGACGCTCCAGTCCTGGAGCCCGCGGGCGACGTGGGGGCGGACGCTCGCCAGCCGGACGGTAGCTCAATAAGAGTGTGAGGAACAGTTTTTCACCGTGAACAGATTCTTCCGATGGCTCAAAGACTTCTTCCGATGCTGGAGGATGTCCATGTCTCCTGTCCCGACTTCAGTGACCACAGGCGACATTGCGGCCCTTGCGAAGTTACCAGCAATGCAAAGCAGCCTGGCTCGCATTGGGTCCCAGTGTTTGGTTCGGCGGTGATTTTTTGGGGTCGTGAGGCGTTGGTTTCTCCGTCCAGTTGGGGGTTGATTCAGAGGTCAATGATCCACATGCTGGTAGCTTCAATTCAAGCCCGCCCTCAGGAGGTGAATACATTTTTTCACTTAAGGAGTAGGCAGTGTTGACATGTAGAGGAGGCAGTAGAGGAGGCTGGTTCTGATTTCCCGCAGCAGCTGGATCCACATTACTAGTATACGTACATGCAGTCTTTGGGCTCTTGGATCTTTCGAAACAGTGGCCAGTGGCCATCCAACGGGGGGAAGCGATGAACTCCGCTCGGAACTGTTCCTTGCGCGAACGGTGTGCGCCCGTGACGGGCCCCAGACCCGCTCGGAACAGCGGTGCGTCGGTCTCTCCACCGAGGGGTCGTCGGTCTCTCTAAGGCGTGCAGCTTCAAAACACCCAGGTGGAGGGAGATGTCAAGGCCGACGTTCGGCCTGGCACAGGTGTGACGTAGGCCAGATCGCAATAGATCGCCATAAATTTTAAGTTATGAGTCTATGCGATGTTATACGGGATCGAAGGTGCCCTCAACATGGCCATCACAAATCACCATCGTCGACAACAAGTTAACATTCAACACATATAACACATATATGCATATAATAACGATCACCAGGTTGACGATCACCGTTTCGCTTCTTTCAGGCGGTTTGACCTCCAGGTCCGGCCACGTTTGGGTTTGACCAGTCCGACCTGGGGACCTCTGCCGGTCTCCACGACTCGTGGCATGGGGTGGTGAATGGACATCCCTGAACCCTTAGGGGGCCCTGGTACTTTTCTATTTGTTTGGGTGTCTTATATAGAAAGACCTTCCAGTGAAAAGACTCCCTGCTTGGTAGGGCTTGGACCAGGCTACCCAGCGATTGGGGCGATCGGGGGGGGGGTGGACACATCAACGGCACCTGTTGGGCAAACCAACCAGAGGTTAAGTGACCTGAGAAGGACTCTACTGGGGTATCTAAAGGATAGTCTATAGGGTTTTTCTAACCTTTGCTGGAAATTATTCAATAGGTATATTCACCCAACCTAAGAGCGATGGCCTCCTCCCATCCTTGCACCCAACTTGCAGGGCCCTTCTTGAAATGAGATCTATTGGCGAACAAGTTCTGTTGGTGTTCACTTGTGTACCAGTACAAGTACTATTGGCCTGTTCTTGTTCACCCTATGGCTGAGCAGACCCCCAGTTTGTTGCTGCGCATTGATGTAGACGGTTGATGTCGTAAAACCCCTCATATGGAGGCAAATCCATTCTGGTAGGGGGCAGGTATTTCATCCACAGTCTATAGCAACCTCTCCCTTTAGGTTCCAGCTACCTCCCGGGCCGGGGAGGTGTTTGCAGCCTTTGGAGCTACGTCAGACCTGATGGAGGCCTGGGGGTCTGTTCACTCCAGCGAAGCCTTTGACACGTGACGACCGTGGCACGTGGAAGTGCAAAGCTTTTTGCAAATTCCTGGTTTTCTAGGGGGTTCAATGACAGCAAAGGTTTTATCAGATGCCTTTTGCAGGTGCATTTGGAAAGCCGTCGTTACAACAGGGTCCCATGCTGAAAACGATGCCGTTTTCGCCGGATCTCGTCTGTTCCGGTGGGCAGCTCCCCAACCACCTGTTTTTCACGCCAGGTGAACTTGGCTTCGACCAAGGTGCATGGCAACTTGACACACTTCACAGGTGCTGAGGACCTACAAAGGTTAGACCTCTCCAACACCCAGGCGCACTGGGGGTGGCACAGACGCGACCCATGGCACATGGGACTGCCATAGGACTGCCGAGAAACGGCCAGGGGTGGTGCCAGGGGGGTCTTTCTGGGGCGGCATATATTCCAGTCCCATGGAGTGTATGGGTGTATAAATATATATATATATACATACCATGTTTGGGAAGAAGATGGAAGAAGCATCTTTTGGGCGGTGTTGGTCTAGACTTATTGGGAGCACCGGCAGACGGAGGGTTGGAGATAACGACTTATGGTGTTGTATAAGGGGTTGGGTTGGGTTGTGGAGTTTCGACTGCTGGAATGGAATTGGTATCAGCATAGCGCCTTCTTTCACTGCACCATTGGCGGTGAATCCAGAAGATTCCTCTTGTGATGCGTGTCAAAGCATGTTAAAGCAGAGCAATTCTGGCCACAAACATGTTGAAAGAAGGACACTTGCCTTGAAGCAAAAGCAAGCGCAAGAGCATGTGAGGTCAAGTTGTATCCTCCTTACACTTGCCAAAGCATAGTTTTGACCCACAAATCGGAAAACATGGAGCACGAACCAAGGGAGCAAAACAACAGAAAACCAACAAATATCAACATGCCAGCACCACCCAAAGGGTAGTTCATACATGTTCCATCCCATAATAACAACCCTTTCATTGGTGCTGGTAGAACACATAAATCACATTAAATAACCAGCAGTCACGAGACGGGTTGCCGAACTTGGAGGAACTCGTTTTCATGTCCTCTCCTTCCACACGGTGGGTTTCTGGGCACCTGGGGACACCCCACGTCTCCGCCCATGCCGCAGTGCTTGGTCCACAGTCGGTGGGTTTCCATGTCATAGCGATGGCCTCTGGTATAAATGGGTTCCAAGGCAGGTCGAACAGTGGTTACTGGTCCAATTATGGCAGTGTGATATCGAAATCCTGCAGTGAAGCATTGATAAACAGTGGTGAAATACTGCGAATCCTGGGAATCCTTGATTCCACAGTTCCACAGGCTTCAGAAGCGCGTTCTGACCAGAATCTGGTCCCTGTCGGGTTCGCGTTTGAAGCTTTGGGACCCGATGTTTCCAACAACTGAGGTCGTAGGCAAGAGGGAGCGATGTGGCCCAACACGTACTCCAGGATGTGGCAACAACTGTTCGGTGCCGAGTTATTCCGATCCGAGTGGATGTGACATCCCCCAAAAACCGAGTGATGTATCGATCAAATCCTCCCAATTCACCTGGTACCCAGACACGACTGATGGGACTGCCATAGGACTGCCGATCAGTTGGGGTGGTTGATGGGTCAATGTGAGCATGTATATACCATACAGTATGGAGGTCAACGTGGGGTATGGAGCTGCTGACTTCAGCGTTTGAACTCTCTCAGCAAAAAGGAGCCTCGAATTCGATCCCTTCATCCTGCGATTTGCGGATCTGGCCCGTCTCCTCCGCAGGTGACGGGGACTTTAGGACCCAGGACTTGGCTGGTGAAGGGTGAAGAGCTACAGGTGCTCAATTTGGCAAATACCTCCATAACCTTCGAGTTTGATGCTTGGAGACGAAGACGGACGAAGAGGACGGGGAAACGTCGAAGCAGGTGAATTCCAGAGCTGGGACGGTGTCCTGATGTTTCCGCCAAGCGGGTTCCAGCATCACGGAAGTGTCTAAGAGTATACTGGAATCATATGGAGGGTAGATCAGGATCCGCCAATGATTTGTCTTGTTACCAAACTTTTGGGGTTTAGTGTCCAACACTTTGAGCGCCAAGATGAAGAGAAGGATTTGGCACCGGCTTTGCACCAATGCTCCACCTGTTACGGCCGGATGTTGCTGGGTGCGAAGAAGCTGCGTCTCCACGACCGGAGGCCATGGGCCCGCCCTGTTCTCGCTGCACCGAGGATCACAAGTACAGCATCCTGCCCAGATTGGAGTCTTTGAATGTCCAAAGTTGACGCTGGGCGTCACACGACCGGACTTGAGCTCTGACCCCATCAAGACCGACCTTTGTTGGGCTCGGGTTCACGCCCAAGAGTAGGGCGGCTGGGGTTTAAAGAGGATACTCCCTAGAAAATCAACATGGCACCTGCAAACCACTGATTTGTGGAGGAAGCTAGTCTTCCAAAGGTCCATTTTCAGGTTCCATGTTAACCTTCCCGGGTGTAGTTCTTTCAGACCTCCGAAATGGCCCCCACCATCAACTGGCCGCGCTTCTTCCTGACCGGCCCAATCGGAGGGTTTGGGTCACTTTGGGGTGGTGCCTGGGGGGTCAATGTCGGCATATATGGCAGTCCCATGGAGTGTCTGGATATGTAATATATATATAGTTATACCCAGACACTGCAAGACTAGGGAGACATGGAGTGTCTGGGGAGTCTATATATAGTTATGTACGCCTAGACTCTGCAAAGGACATATAATGTTTGTCCGTTGGTGTGGACCATGTTCAGGCGATACGACCAAAAACAACACCACTGAGCCATTTTGGTGTCAGTTCTCCTAACTTCCTGCGTCATGTTTTCCATTTTCTTCAGGGTCCAGGCACATGAACACCTGTGCCTCCATAAAAAAAAAACTAACAATTTTAAAAACTATTCAATAATCATACGCCCAATTCTGCCCCAAAGTCGAAGTGGATACCCAAGTTTGGGAAGTCCGGATGGGTTTGCAGGTTATCTGGAATGTAGGAGGTGTTCATGGATGTTCTTTTTTTTTCGGTCAGCCGCCAGGAGTGCTGAAAAACGGACCAACCTGCAGTCACAAGGGAGTGTTTGGGGTCATGGTGCCCAAACACTCCATGTATTACCTGTATGAGTGACATTAGGATCATATGTCGTGGTTGTCCCACACATGAAAAAAGGGGGTCGTAGGAACATGTTCCAGTTCCACGTCACACTTCGCTTCGCAAGAAAAACCCGGCGCGGCTGTGCGCCGAGGCGATCTCCGCGCGGACGTCATGCACCTGCTGTCGCTCGGCTGACCCGTCGACCGTGCGCAGACTGACTGACTCCGGGCGGTGTTCCAAGGTCGGTTTTTTTAAAGGTTGGATGCGCTATACGCGCACCTATTGTGACCTAGTGGTGTGAACGGTTCCCAAAGTCATGAAAAATAGATGCACAGTTGCACAGGGCGGCAAAACCACGGTAAGTATATTCAACATCCTTATCCACCGATCACAATTGTACACGATCACTATTGTACACGTTTGAACTCAAGTTTTGCCCCGCCGAAGGCTACAACCGTTGTTCATGCATGAGCATTGGTTCACTAACAAAAACGCCTCCGGACAACGACTTGTCCAACATTCTTTTGGACACCTGCAGCGATGCTGGAGGTTTTGGAGAATGGCAATGTAGGGCGACCCAACCATGGAAATCACAGGTACTTGCCAGGTCAATTCGGAGACAGATTCACCATTCTTGTTGCCGACATCGAGAGAGATCTCTCGGAATGCCGATGTTCCATTTCAATGTGCACCCTAGAAGTTCCAATGTGCACCCCTTTGCCACAAGTGAAAGGAAATTGCTGGGTCACTTCAAAGTAGGCTTTGAGGGCAAGTAGAGTCCCTCATGTAGTTGCAGAGTTGCTCCATGTTGTTCCTCTAAACCAGTTCCGCACCTCCCTCCCCAAACTGAATGTCCCGGACTCCAACAATAACTAAAGTTTCAGTGCTACCCTTACTCGCAAAAGGCCATTTTTGCAAACGGCATTTGCACATCCATCCTGTTTCACCAGCCAAAAGACTGTTAGTCTACGCCCCCTCGTCTCCATGTCGCACATGTGAAAGCACATCCATCCTGCTTCACCAGCCCAAACGCTGCGAATCGTACCGAGGCACTCCTTCAGTCGTTCCGGCTCCTTGCAAACGATCATCGCCTCGGACGCCTCGCTCAGTGGGGAACTCCTGGCGCTCAGCGGTGCGGTGCCCATCTCGAAGTCCCTGCTGACGTTGGACCTCTCAGGCCGGGCGAGGTCCCGTGATGCGAACGACACGGAGAGGGAGAGACCTGGTTCGGTCCACAACGGTGCCCGGAGTAGATGGAAAGAGACCTGGGAACGGGATTTCGGGCGGAGTAGGCGGAGTCGGGTGAACGTGATCGGATCGCAGTTGATGGGTTGTCGGGAGAACACGTAGGACACAAGATAGGACCGAACCTGCAAGCCTAGAAGCTGAGGGACCTTTGTTGCTGGAGGTTTCTGGCGTTTTGTTTGACCTTTGCACAGTCGTCCATTGAAAAACAGCAGAAGGGTCGTCCTTTTGTGGAGTGGATTCCCAGCGGGCCATGTTCCATAAGTTTTTCCCCTAAGTCTTGCCCTAAGTCTCCCATGTTGTGAGTTTGGGTCTAACTTGTGCCCGCAAGTTTCAGACAGGTTGCGCGAGGACGTCCTCACATTGCATGATTATTGCCGTGCTATTCACATCGAACTTCGCTGTCCTGGTTGCGGGCTCACAGAAGTTGCATGACCCTGCTTTCTTATGTTTATTCTTTCCTGCCATTTTTCGGAGGAGAATCGTCGGAGAAGGTTCCGTTTGGAGTTACTGACGTTACTGTACCGTTCCGCTAGATGGCCTTTTTGGAGTTCCCTCCAAACGCAGTACCAAACGCTTGACCCCAGGGGGGGGGGGTCCTTCCTTCGGCTGAACATGGAGCCTTAGACTAGACTCTTGGCATGTCCAGTTCCTATCAGTTCGGACGAATGAAGTGATCAACAAAGGATCAATTCCCATATGAGGTGTGGGAGTGGAGTTGCCAGTTGCCCCCTTCGCGGGTTGCTTGGGCTCCGATGTGAGGGAACAACATCACCAGAGTGTGGCGCATTGCTACCTGGGCCGAGTTTGGCCGGACCTTGATTCTTGGGCTGTGCTTTTCTGACCGTGGAGCTTCTTTTTGGGTGGGACAAGCAGTGCCGATCGAACAGGTGGAGGCAGATCCAATGGGCAAACACATCGAAGAGATCGTTATATGACGGTTTCTTGTAATGTCCATCATATCACCACCTAGGCGCTCCAAACAGCCGGACCGGTCCAAAAACCTGTGAATTTTTTCACCCCAGACCCTCCATGTGAGGGTCCAATCCCTCCATAGCAGGGTCCAGGAGTATTTGGGTAAAAGATACTAATACAACCTTTCTGTTCCATATCAACAATGCACACGTAACACAACATATTGCACTCGCTCAATTCTATGCCCTACATTGGAGATTGACATGTCCTGCCTAAGAAGAAGGGGTCAAATACTGTTTAATCGGACATCCAGGAGTGACCGTTCGAACCTTGGTACCATCGAAATGCCACCTCCTTAAACAACAAGGTAAGTCAAGAATTTACATGGTAATCAAACCAGGATGATCAAATGTTAGCCAGAGGTTCACCTCCACAGCCTTTGAGGACTTTACTACAGAGGCAGCAAAGCCCCGTGAGAGTGAGCAAGTATGTCTTGGAGGCGCGCCAGGTTGAGGACTTCCTGGATAGGGATGGCTTGGGTTTGTCCCAGTACAGTCGGTAAACAAGAACGTCACTATTCTAGAGAGAGGCCTGCAAACTAATCATCATCCACCACCACTACCACTACCACTACCACTACGACTACCACTACCACTACCACTACGACTACTGCTGCTGCTGCTGCTACTGCTGCTCCTGCTCCTGCTGCTGCTGCTGCTGCTCCTACTACTACTACTACTGCTACTACTACTACCCCTACTACTACTACTACTTCTACTACTACCCCTACTGCTGCTACTGCTACTGCTGCTGGTAATGGGATATACGATTGCATTTTCGCAAAGTGCCCATGAGAAACTTCACTTGGGACTAAAGACCAGCTCTTGGTCACATGAGGGTGACTCCAAGATCCTGCTCAGTGAACAATCCATCTCTGCTCCGTTCACCAATTTCGGCCTGGCACTGTGTGTCAGAGGATGTCTTGTCTTAAGCCAGTTCCTCGTGTTGTTGGGGGGTGCCCGGTCAATTGATTGTCCTCCAGCCAAAAAAAAAAGCCAAACAAAAAAGGGATCCAATTACCTTCTCAGGTTCAGTGCGACTGGACCCTCCTGACCAAAGCAGCCAGAAATGAGATCATGCCCAAAGCAACCAAGTACCTTCTCACACCTTTTGAGGAAGGAGACACTGTTATGTAGGTGCCTCCCCCACGTCCGATGCCTTGGTGAGGCGGCGGTGGCCTCGCAGACCGTTTTTGACTTGACGGGCACCACCTTGTCGCACCGTCAAGCTTCTGGTCGGCACTTGGTTCGGAGTAATTCACTGATCGGTGGCCTCGCGGAGGTTTCAGGGAGGCCACCCAAAGCATGCACAAAGCACAGCATGCACTATCAGGACACTCTAGCAGCTAGCACACATTTTGGGGCGCTGGCTGTCACTCCAGGAAGCGGCTGGCGAGCTTTTCGCGCCCCTGCTGCAGTCAGACGTCGTTCGGGGTGAGGCGACCTGAGGTCGAGAACCCCGCCGGAGCCGCGAGAGACGCCGGCCGATCGGAGACCGAGTTTTCCACGCCCGACTTGGGAGGTGGGTTGACCATGTGGGTTGACCGTCGTCCGCGCACGCGCACGCGCCCGGGGTAGATGAATGGTGGTGGAACCAATCCAAAGTTGACCTCAGTGTTTCAGTGGGGGTCCACTATGGTACACTCCTTGAAATCATTATGAAAGTGGACTAATTAGTGGAGTTCACCACCTGTTTGGTATCAGGATTTCATGGTCATCCGAACTACAGAGGACATGTGTCATGTCGCGTCACCATGATCATTCCAGGGGGTCCCGGCCTCCCAAGAAGGGTGGAGGCAATTTCTTGGGCTGACAGCCTGAGAGGCTTCCGAAAACACACAGAACTGAGACTGCCTCGCTAGAGGACCATGGACGATTTGGTTTGATCTCCAAAGAGTGCGCCTTTCAGCCAAAAGGCAGAGGTAGCCAGCTACTTCCATCTACTTCCTTTGGGAAACTTTAACACTATCAGTTCAATCAAGAGTTAGGGCTCAACCTGGATCGTGTTACGTTCCACGCCTTGCATGTGGACAGTGCTTGGAACGTAAGCGCGGAAAAGCAGCAAAAAACATTCTGGCCAAAGAATGCAGCTATGTCATCCAAGGTCAACTCAAAAATGACCACACATGCCCAAGTTTTCAGGCGACTTCCTAATGCCTGGGAAAGGGTTTTTGTGTTTGTCCATGGCCCTCAGCATATACTACTACTACTGCTGCTGCTGCTGCAACAACAACAACAACAACTACTACTAGTACTACTACTACTACTACGACTACTACTACTACTACTGTACTTTGCTATACTATTCTATACTATACTATACTACTACTATACGGCGACGACGACGACGACTACGACTACTACTACTTATACGACGACTACTACTACGACGACGACTACTACGACGACGACTACTACCACTGCTACTACTATAGTATACTTCTACTACTACGACAAGTGCAACTACCACTCCTACTCACTACTCAGTATACTCACTACTCATACTGCTACAGCATGCTATAACACTGCTAATGGTAATGATGCTGCCAACTACTACCGTCATTAAACTCACCGCCTCAAAAGCTGCAATTTGCCGGGGTTCCTCCCAGATCTTCCCTCGTTATCCTCTCTAAGGCCAGCGGTTTGCTGAAGAGTACCACAGAGTTTGCGTTGCGCGATGAGCAGGGGGGCTTCGCATGTAAAAACCTCATTGCGGGGAGCCTTTGACGATTCAAAAGGCAGTTTTTTTGCACCCACTTGTCAGTGGGGGGCGTCTACGAAACCAGCATTGTTGCTGACTGTTGTGTTGGTCGCTTTGCGACAATTGCGACGGGGTGAACATGCGGAGGATGTTTAGCCAGGGAGTGAAATGTGGACAAGGTGGGCAGTGTTTCTTTGTCGAAAGAGGAAGGGTGGCAACAATTGCCCTCTCCTTCAACGAAGGAATACTTTTGCTCTTTGTTGAATCTAGTGATCCATGGAACCGTTTCTTTTTCTTTCCGTGAGTATTTTGGGAGAACTTGAAACCTCAGGATATGCCGCTCGTGAGAGGTTTGAGTTTGAGTTTTCCAAGGCATTGAAGTTTGCTTGTCCCGTTTGTTTTTTCGACCTTCATCCTGCAGATGACGAGGATCCTTTGTGGGCATCAGAGTCCAAAGTTATCCAAAGCACCTCCTGAGGACCTAATAACAAAGACTACCCTAATATACCTATTGAAACTCATGTCGTGAAGGGTGGGGGCGTGTTTCATTTACAGGTGGAACGGATTATGATGCTGATGTGGTTTGCCATGTTTTTTCCTTGTGTGGTCGGAACCACGTCACCTAAGGAGTCTTCGTGTGACACCATCGCTGTTTCTGCCCGAGGAACTTTGCAGGTGGGACCGATCACCCCAATCATCCCACGGGCGGTCGATGGCCTCCAGCCTAACTGCAAAAGGAACCTATAATAGCAATAGCCTTCAACCGAATAGCAATGGCCTCCAACCTAATAGCAATGGCCTCCAACCTAATAGCAATGGCCTCCAACCTGATAAGGATGGCCGCCAACCCTGATTGATTGAAACGGGAAGCCTCGATTTGGCAGAGCGCGAGAAGGAGCCTCAACTACTGGACCGTGGGAATTCCTGTTCAAGCATAGACACTAGACCAAGACCATATCCCGACCTTTTTTGCCCATGAGTAGAATGGTTCCTGCCATTTCAAACTCTAAAGCAGTTGAAGCAAATGCTCCTTTTGGATTTGCAGTTTTTGCCCAAAGAAACCGCTGTCCGCGGGTCTTGGGGCTATCCATGGGAACTGGAATATTTGCCATCGAGTTTGCTATCCCATTTCGTCCCTTTTCCACCCCTGGCCTGATGAGTCTATATGGCTCTGGGTAAGGTCAACATAAGGTTAAGCAGCAAACCTAAAGGTCCACCTGAAAGGTCAACCTACCCTAAGAGGCTCCAGGTCAACATACCCACATCCACCCAACCTTACGGCGCACGATGGTCGTGCCGCACCGTCGCACCGGAAGCGATACGCGTATACGAAGCGATTCGCGCGAATCTGTGGGGGCGGCCTGTTCGGCCATGGCGCAGCGCGTGAACGGAATGTTGTGTTGTAAGGTGGGCCGGCTGATCGCAGCTGGGGCTGAGAGAAAGTCCCCATGGGTGCGCAGCCTCCGCCGTCGCAGGTGTTTGCCTGGCTGGTATGGGCATGGAGCGCAGTGTCGTCCTTGTCCACCCAACACCTGGAAGGACAGCGTCACCAACGCTGACACGTGCCACCCGTGTCCAGCCAACAGCACGCGGCCCGGAACTGAAGAGTGGAGCCGGCAGGCGCGAGTCGAAGCCGTTCAGAACACCCGTGTTTCGAGTCACTCCTTATTGGTGCTAGACAATCAGGTGTTCTGAGGTTTTTGAGTGGCATCGCACTGCTCACCGCGCTAGCGGCTCCGGTCACAGCGAGAAGGTCGTCCAAAAGCATTCCCAAGTACCCCAAGGACATAGGGCAAAGCGACGTACTTGTAAAGGGTTTGGGTTTATCATGGCTCATGTTTATGTTACTCTTTGTTTTGTGTTTTCAAGGATCAAGCGATTAAAAGGTGGGTCATGTTTTACTATAAGTGCTTCAGCGATTCAGGAACCAAGACTGCAGCTCTATGAATTCCACCGCGCGACATATCGTGCGACTCTATGTCGATGCATTTTTTGCGACATCCACCAACCTACTAGCGATGGCCTCCAGTAGCGATGGCCTTCATGTTTCATCTCATGCAATCAAGCTTCGTTCGTTCGGGTCCATCTCCCAAACCTCGTCCGTCCGTCCTGATGCCAACGCGAACGAGCGGATGGGCGGATGGGCGGCGGCTGAGGTCCTTGGAGGGCTCCAGCGAGTTGCGTCACTGCTTCTCGCCAAGCGGTTTGCGCTTTCGCTAGCGGAGCGGGTTTTTGGGGGGTGTGGCCTACAGCTGGGGTGGTGGTAAAACCTGGGGTTTTTTGCTCAAGGGGCCTTAGGGGTGATGCTCTTTATGGGGATGAATCTGCGTTTGGAAAAGAGTTTCTTGATCAGTTCTTTCTGGTTCTTTGATTGAGTGAGTATATGAACAAATGACAAAGGGAACTACCCTCCGACTTCGCACCAACCGAAGCTCTGGCTAGCTTAGGGTCTTCCCGGGGGCTCATTTGCCACTTCCATGTGACGAACACAGAGTGTTCGTCAGAGCACTCCAGGAGCATTCAGCCGTTCAGGGTGCAGATCGGAGGGTATGTGGGGGCGTGCAGCCAGACCGAAGCTCGATCGGAGGGTATGTGGCAATAGTGTAGACTTTTGATCATATTTCAACCCCCTATATGAAGCGGCGTTGATATCCAAATGGGGGGGTTATTCATCAAAGATGCAATGTTACACATGAGGCATTTGAGGAATCCTTGCACCTTCTTCATCGCCTCATTCTGGCCGACAGGCCATTCAACGACCCATGGAGAGGCAAACTGCCGTTGATGTTCAGATGAATTTCCTTTTTACTTATAGGGATGAGTATTGGTGAATTCAACCAAAAGTATGACTTGGTTAAACCTATAGCAACTGGCTCATTTTCCTGGCGAGGCAGTACTTTTGGTAATTTCACTGAATTTTGGAATTGACGCTGATTCTGATGAATGGATGAGGTCAGGAAAACATGCCCTGGGAGATGTCAAGATGTTCCAACCGCCACGTGTTTGACTCCTTCTTGCAAAGTCACACGGAAGTGCAACAACGAGTTCCTCACAGTTGGTGCCGATGTTAATTTGTTTGCCGCCTGACCCCGAACCGCCCCAGGGCCAATCTGAGCCCGAAATCGGTGAACCACCGGGATCAGAACAGCTCGTGTGTCACGCACGTGGTCCTTTGTATGGCCTGACATGTCAGAGACAGTGATCACATGGATCGGACGGACGACCCGACGACCCGGACGACCCGGACGGGACGTGCCAAGAAAACCCGGGGTTGCCCCCACCGAGGTAAGTGCTACTTCGGAGAGTTGCACAACGGCTCCTGCAGCGACCTGGCTGCAGGGGGCCCGGTTAAACGGTCGAAGCGAGGTGCTTGGAGTCGAGCCTTGGGAGGGCGGTGGGCGGGTTCGGTGAGGATGGAGAATCGACTCCGGACCTGGCAGCGACCTCTGTGTCGAGCACACCACCGTAACGATAGGAGTGGATACGTGGATCCCTATAGGGCTGGGTGCATTCTTTTTGGGGGCTGGCCACATGCCAGGAGGTGGCCGCCAAAAGCCATGCGTGCAGCATGCACGCGTACGCAGCGTACGACTCACGGGGGTCAAGGAGACGAGCGAGTCTTAGAGCTTCCACTGCAGAGCTGAGCCCTCCTCAGCACTAAACCCTTGTTTTAATTCATGGACGTGAATGGCATTGGTTGTTGGATGACCATTTTCTGAACACCAAACAAAATAATGATTTACCATATCCATTTTTTGTTTCACGACGTCAGTGAGTGTCAATCTGATTTGTTGGTATACAGTGCGTAATTGTATAGATGCATATGTTCATTGGCCAACCCTTTTCGTGCCACTTTATGCGTGGACGGCACAGGATCTACACAAAATCAACAGGGGGGTTCTTGTTGTTGTGGCCATGTTTTCAGTCTCCTGGTCATTCGATCTCATCGCCCGGGGATTCAGGTTGCAATTCGCAACATGGTCTACAGGGCGACAGTTGTGTGCCATGCAGCAAGCTGAACTTGCAATGCAGCCAGCCTGGAAGTATCCTTTCTACAGCGGTGCCTGAGCGACTTGGACTAAGAACATGCGACCCGGACGAGCATGAGGGTGCATGAAATCAAACAGTCTCACCGTCTCACTATCCAAACAAATCATGTACTCCTTGTACTTGATATTGCTTCAGGATGCTACCTCAGTCCTGGAAAGTGGATAGTATAAACATGATTAGTGAACTCCTGAAGATGGGCACCTGTCCTAGACCAAGTGCCAGAGGCATCCAAACCTGTGGAACACCGGTTGCGACCCTGGCCGAAGTCACTTCATCTCTGAAAAGGTGGAATCTGCGACCCTGGACTCCCTGGAACACACATGTATCATCCAACAAACGTCTCATGTGTTTGGCCAGAGACGCGTCAGACGACGCTTGAGGAGTCCACTCGCGGCATGTGTTTGGCGGCCAAACCGAGTGACGTTGCCGGAACCGCGCGGCGAAGTTCGGTCGTTCAATGCCGTGACCGGTGAAACCGGTCCTGGAGCCCGGACTAGAGTCGTTAAGATAATATAAATTATTTAGATAATAATAGGTTTTAGATATATAATAACAATAAGTTATTGGAGTTTAGAGTTAGATATATTTAGATAAACAGTTAGGTATTATACATGGTTTACATTCTAACTCTTCCATGGGATGGTCTTTTTACCCATTTTGGTGACCGTTCCATGGGATGTTTTGGGATTTGAACACGCATGTTTCGTACTCTTTGGCACTGGACACGTCCAGGCGCGGCTTCCTACGCTTGGCGCCCGGCGCCGAGGAGGCACGCCGGTGCCCCGCGCCGGCCGAGGCGGGGACATAGAGAAGAGCGGCGGATGGGGGGGATGGATCTTGGAGAAGTGCCAGAATTGCCCAGGTTTTCAGTGGGTTTCAGAGGTTCGGTGGCACAAGTTACCCCCAAGTTAGGTGGTTTGGGTTTGGACCCCCAGTCTGTCTAAGACATGTAGGGGTGGGTGCCAGTGCCATCGAACCTCTGAATTGCACATGTGATGTGTTCTTCTTTGGGGGAGGGGAGGCAGAGGGAATGAGAAGTTGAGGCAGACTTGTCCAGGCTGACTTGCCAGGTGTATCATCGAAGGTCAGCGGCTGATGCTGGAAGTTCGCCCCGGCAGCGGCTGCGCTACGGCACTGCAAAGCCAAGATCGGTGGTAGACAATGCCCAGCACCACGGATTCCGGGTCCATTCACCACCCCGCTGGAGACGTCAGGGTCGGTCGGACGAGTAGGTGGGACCTGGAGCAGCTCAAAAGGTTGAAGATGGTTGAAGGATCCATGTGGATAATGGGACGATTGAGGGGTATGTGACCATAGGATACGACTTGATCAAGAGTTGATACGACTCATCACTTATGCTTTTCTGTCAGATGTCTACAATGGTTTCAGAGTAGATGGCACAAACTCCTACATGGGGGTCCATATAAACAACCTTTTGGGGATTGTGCCATCTACTCTGGAACCACTGCAACAGGTTTCTTCCAGGACTCCTCCACTCCTCGTCATGTCCGGCCTTCCTTGCCCGACTCGAAGACCATCAGGTGCGCTGCTCGGGTGGACACCGCTGCAGCGAGGGCTACAACGGCACGTTGTGCACGAGCTGCGCCCTGGATGGAGGAGCGCTAGGAGGGCTACGTGTGATCACCCTATCCAACCCCACAAACTGGAGAGTGTGACCACCTTGCACCATGATGCCTTGGAGAGCGGTATTTTGGATGGGGCTGGGGTGCTGGTGGGTGCAGACCTCAGACCTCAGTTCAGACCATCGAAAGAGAGCGGTCAAGTGATATCACCGGAAGGCACTGCATGGGGAGACGTGGGGACACTGGTGCCACCCATCGGGTGGAAGAAGAGGACATGAAAACCGTGTGTTTTCTCGGTCCATCTCGTCCAGATCTCGTGAGATGCTTCTCACATGGTCTCACCGAATGACCTACCTGGACCTGAAAAAAAAGGGGTGTCCTGTCGGTCTAGTAGTGGGCCGGGGCTTCTATTGGAGATCCCTTTGAAGCTGCTGGTAGAGTCGATCCTGTCGGTCGGGTTGTCGACCCTCAAAACAGCGCCACACCTCACGTCCCAATCTTCGGACTGCTCCTCTCAGTCCGACGGCGTCCTGACTCGAGAAACCTCTCAGGTGCCGAGGGCTTTTGGGCCAGCGGACCACGCTGCCGGTGCCTCGGCCGAACGGACCGGGCCGTGGAGACGCCGCTTCCTGGCCCACCATTTGGTGTACATGCTTGGAACCGGTGTAAAGCAGGTGATGAATACATCGAATACATGTGTTTTTTTGGAGTGTTCAGATGTTTCACTGAGGATTTCACATAATTCCAACCAGGTCAACCCTTCTTTGAAACATGTTCTTGAAAGGCTAGGGTTGACAGTGGTTTCAGAGTAGATGGCACCAACCAAAGAGTCGTTCTTTTAATAGTCTTGGGGTCCATCTAAACCACCGGGCTTCGGGTAACTTGCGCCATCTCCTCCCCAAAACCTGTAACCCTTGGGGCGACTTCGGCTTCTCCACTCAGCAAGATCCTTGTGCAAGAGGCTCTTTCCAGGGCTCGGGGAGCGGAGCTCGGCTGGCGCAGGGGGTCGCACGGGCGTCCCGCTTTGGCAGCAGTCGGTTTGCAGATTCCATCGTTTTGGGTCGCCCCAAAAGTACCTGCTCCAGCCTCCAACAGCTCACCACCTACCATTTTGAAGTCTGCAAAAGGAAAAAGAGGAGGAGACCTGGTTGAAGGCTGCTGGCAGCTTTTCGAGATGATAGAAATTGCCTGAATTTGGGACTCAGGACCTGTGCTGATGCCAGTTCCATCTCTTTATGGATCCTCTCACTGCTCGCAGCCGTGGCGCTCCTTGTTGCCCTCCTCGTCTACTACCGCAGCCGCCTCTCGGGGTCCGAGCGGCGCAGGTCGGTCAGCGTCGCTCGGTGTGGAGACCACGGCGCGGGGCGAGCCGAAGCTCGGGGGAGATCAGCAGAACACTCCTCAGCTCAGGTGTGAGAGTTCGAGGGAAGTAGAAGTGTACACTAGTTCTGACCTTGAGGGAGTTGACGGCTGCCGGGGTATCCAGACACTCAGCTCCGACTGAAATGCCTATTGCCTATTGCCACAGAGTGTTGAGGTATTCCCCATACAAAAAGGCTGGAACTCGGAGCTACGTACAAGTTCCCCAACCGCTAGAATCAGAAGAGGAAGTCTTCCAGTCATTCTCCAGACGGCGGCTTTGGTGTTTCCAACGATCCGACATGACGGATGAAAGCATCTCGGGGCGCCCCCAGGGTGGACCATGAATTCCGAAGACCACCGGTGCCATCCATGTCACCATGATGGATTTCGGGGAGTGTGTCCATCTACTGAAAGAGTCCAGCCTGCGCGTCCGCGCATCGGTTGAGTGGGACGCCCGGGGGGAAAAGGACATTTGGAGGACTTTCAAGGGAAAGCGTTGGAAGGTCTAGGTCTTTAGAGGTACACCCTGGAAGACTAAGATGGACCCTAAAAGCCCACTGGTTCGTAGAGCGAAACAATCTCTCAAGGGCCAGACAATCAGGGTCTATGTTTGTTTTCGTGGGTGCATTAATCTCATGACTTGTGACTTCCAGGCGCCGCAGTATAGACATGAACGCGCCGGGATCGCACCCCAAAATGCCTCAGTCGTAGACATCCAAGATTAACTATTCCTCCCTGAGAAAAAGGTGAGAACCTCCGCACACACCCCAAGAAGCCTTCTTAAGGCCAGCTTGGTGGGCCACTGGTGGGCGCAAATTGATGTGAGAGTCACACTGGACACACTCGAGGTATAGTAGAGAATCATGCTGTAAGTGCAAGTAAGTACCATTGGCCATCAGAGACACTCCACGGGACTGGCATATTTACCGATCAATTGGGGTTGAAAAGGGCTCCATGTAGTCATAATGTATTAACCATACATGGAGTGTTTGGCCATTGGGATTCCTTTTAGTTTGTGTGTTTCTCAGGATTTAGTCCACAACGACACATCACCCGAGTGTTCTCAGTTTGGACTTTCTTCTGGCTCGCAGATTGTTCAGGCTCGAGAACTCCTGCAGAAACTGATCCTTCTGCAACTCAGTGTGATCAATTAATTGGTTTGCTTGGGCATGTTGATGTGCTTTTGGTCATGGCCTGGCCTTCCTTTGCTTGTTGATGGACCATCCACCTCCCAAGAGAAGTGAGTGAGCATGTAGATACCATGGCATGTTTGTCTCTGATTTTTGCTGGCAAGAAGGCGAGAAGTACAGCTTCATCGAATGTTTCCACACCATGCCATAGCCACAGCCATGCCTTTCGAGGACCAGCAGCATGGTGTCCCTAAACCCGACAAACATTTGACGACCATTGATTGCCCGACGACTATCAAACTTTCTGGAGAATGATGATCTCCTGCATGTACCACCCAAAGGCTATGGCATAATATGGCATATACCAAGTCTTTATGTGCCCCAGTCCAGTGCGCTCTCCAAGGCAAGCCCCAGTCCTCCTCCAAACCGTGCAGCTTTGGAGTGTTTTGACGCGCTTGGCCACGACAGAAACGACGGAGCAGCGCGACGGAGAGCGCCTTCCTGAGATCCCCTATCTCGAGCCTTGAGGGAGAAAGAAAACAACGAAGAAGAACGGCAACCTCGTCACCTTTTTCCGATGAAAAAACATGGTCTGCCTAAAACCCATGGAAACCTCACCGAACCATCGCGAAGCGGAGCTTACTTTTCTCTCCCCTAAAGTTTCGATTTATATAAAGATCGACATATAAAGGCTTGGTTTCGATTGAGTTTAGTGAGAAGGACCCCAGCTAGACCAACACGACGTACTGAATCAAACATGCAACTTCTCAAATTCATCACTCTTCATTATACGTAAAATCCCTTTGGCTTTACATCTCCATATACAATCTACACGACTATTCCGACTTCTCAATTTGCCTCACCTCCGCTTGATTACTCCGCCTACTTTTTCAGCGGTTATCCAGTCCGCCCAAGAAAATCGGATAGGGATGAACTACGCCTTCTTGCATTGTTGCCAATAATTTAGAGGTAGCACTTTGCTTGCGTCCCATACATGAGCGACTGGTTGGATAATTCAGCATGCTATGCAAATCTTCATCTCTGTGGAACCACACCAGCATTAACACATTGACATGCACAGTACCCACAGAACGTGGAAGGGCTGCAGAATGTGTGGGCAAGTTGGTTTCAGGAGGTGCACACGCACACCTGTCTTACTTGTTGTTAATGGTGACTGAGTTTGGGCCCCAGGTAGAAAGTGAAACCTATGAAACTTGTTTGGATGTCAAGCCTGCTTTAAACAGGGGCAAGAAATTGCTTTTGATACGGTGAAGATCGGTGAAGTAACTTTACTTGCAGCTCACCTGCCCTTTTTGAGGATTGGCATCACTGCATCTCAGAGGCCGTATGCCCACCATGAAAATATACGGTTTTCACACGACTGGAAAACCAAGTCACTTGCTTGAAAAGGGGCCCTCGAAGTAGGCCAGCTGAATTCGGTGGGAGACTTGGGCTTCTCAACCGGACTGGACGACTTACCGTTTCCAGACAGGTTGAGCTCCAGCTTGGCTTCGATTTCAGGAAGCCTTGCAGCTGACAGCCTCGGAGATGCAAAATTCCTTAAACCTCCAGTGTCGCTGGGGCGATGCCGCCGCCGTGCGCGCCTGGGCGGCGATGAGCTCGCCCTTGGCCCCCTTGCTGTTGCGCCTTGGTGGTTGAGTGACGACCCCACACAGGACCAAAAGCCTGGAAAGCGGTGAACACAGCGATTTCAAGTTTTGTTTGATTTCTCGTGGTGAGATTAAGTAGACGGGACAATCCCCAAGTTTGTTGGCCACTATATTGGGCATGCTTGAAAGACAGCTTAGGGATCTTAGGGGTTGTGCCATCTACTC